ATAACTTTTGTCATTTTCAAATAACCTTTCATAATCATCAGCAACTCCCTGCAAACATTCAAAAGACATTTTTTTTTAACAGAAATTAATAATTAAAAAAAAGGAAGAAAAAAATATTATTAAGAGGAAGATTATATATTAATTTGGAAACTGTTAAAATTCATTTAGCTTAAATTAAAACTAAAATTGGCAAACCTTTCGTGTAACTTACCTATTTATAGAATCATTATAAAATCATTGAATTTAGTCTAATAGAAATTGTACCGCGCCACGTTCCTGCATGATCATTGTCATTTCGATCATAATTAATAATTAATTTGATTATTTCTTAAAAAGAATTATAATATTATCTTTTTTCCTGTTTTTAGATAGAGATATTTGATATCTTTTCTTAAAACCTATTACAATGAGACAGCAATAGTTGGTATCTTTTGTATTCTTAGTTCCTTTGATTATAAATTTTGTAAATAGACTTTATTAAAATATCTTCCTCGTGATAAAACCTCAGTGAAATATGGCGATATAAACAATAGTAAGTTTTGAAATTATATTAGTCATAATTAATTATAATTTCATTAAGTACTTCTTTAAACTTATCTTTGCTTTTAGTTAGAAGCAGTTTATTGGCTTCTTCTTTTTCTTCTCTTTCGTTGTTTTAATGGATTTTGATTTATTTATACTAAGTGACTAATTGATGAAACTTATCTCTATTCATACTTTTTGTAACGACATACACGTGACTCTTGAAATCGACAAGCACGATCACGATCACGATCACGAAAACCTAGATTAATTGCCTTTCATACATGAACCGGCATTACGGGAAAGTAAGAAGTAATTATTTATTTCAATACCGTGATATGGAAGATTCGACAGTTGTGCCAGCTCACGCTGATGTATCAACCTGAAAAGTATTTCTTCAACTTCCCATGATTCAAGTATAATTTATATGGGAAATTATGAATGAAATTAAAGCTATCAACGAATAATCATTAAAAATACCAAGAATCAATAATTTTACATAGTAATCACGTAAGCATGATCGCATTATGGAAGTTCGCTTAATTGAATTTCCTCGTTTTCTTTAAATAGTACAAACAAGATTAACAACTTACCTATCCTTGATCCTTCACACGAACTTTAACATGCAATACGCTATACAGATACACAGAATGTACAGTATCATCAATCATTAACTGCTTCACCTATAAACTCTGAGATAAGACTGTAAAAAAATAAAGATCAATAGATCCATTGATTATTCCTTGTAAGAAATTAGCTTCAATTAAATTGATAACTTCTTACGAAAGAATATTATCAGGTATAATTATGAAACCTTGCGAAACATGAAAAATTATTTATATGTTTAAGAGTTAACAGATCCTTTATCCACAGGGTTGAATAATCCTCATGATACACATGAAGTTAAAGCTAATAATATCGCTAGATTTCTATTGTGAATGAGGTAAAAAGATATTTACGTCGACGAAACATTTACCATCAACGAAATTATGTCACCGTAACACCATTTCCTGCTCATGTTGATTATCTTTGTGACAGATTCTACAAATGGTCTAAGAGGAAAAATGATCACAAATTAAGCGTTTTATACTTTCTTGCAAGTTAGATTATTTAAATTAATTTGCAAAACAAAAATTAAAAAATCCTTTATATGGTCAAATGACCTGATCATTTGCCATAACTGTATGAAGCTATGCCCTTTTTCTGACTTCGGATACTTATGCGAAAAGGCTCTTTTCCGCCTGATGCGCCTTATTCTTCTTGTAATATTTTTAACCATAACTATATAGATTTTATCAGCGTTGATGCCATATTTATTTGTAATATAATTATTCTCACAAAAGTGGATATTTGGTTCTTCGAGTCTGAATTTACCATATTGATTCATCTCCAAACCATATTGATGGAATCTCATCCACTTGTCCAATGGGATCAGCTGTTTCATTTCCATATATTCTACGAAATCTAGTTTGCAAAACTTATTTCCAGTAAAAGCTGTGGCCCAATGCTAGAGCTAGTTAACCATTCAACGTAATTTCTGGTAAACTCAGCGACACTTACGAAAATTGAATATGTATATAGATTAGTATAATCAACAACGAAATAACATTAACAGCAATCAAAACATCTAATCTTAAAGTGGACCAATTAGAAAGACAAGTAAATGACAGTTTCTATTCATCGGCGGCATGAGACAGCAAAGTTTTATGAGAGATGGAATTTCTTTGCCGAAACAGAGACAATTGGTATCGATATTATCCGAACTTTTAATACTATTGTGGTGATCAACGTAAACTTTATTTTGTTATTTTCCCGTTATAGTTCTTCGAACGACCCACGGGTCTATAAATGTGCATGAGTTATAAATCACAAGTCCCAATGTGGACGAAACTTTATTACATTTTTTTTGTAATTGATGACGATAATATATTGTGAAAAAATGCCATTTGGCTAAAAAAAAACGATTATATTATAAGCAAATTGGAGTAGTGGATATTTAAAGGGAGGAACCATTGTATAATTGAGAACATTATAAACACGCCCAGGCCCACGAAATTTATGTTTAATATATCATTGCTTTATTAATGAAATAAAAAAACTAATTCAATTAACGAAAATATAAATCTATTATATTAAGAAAATTGAAATTTTAAACATTTGTCAAACATTTAATACAAGGATGTAATAAAAAAATGATAATAAAATGAATGGTAATTAAATTATTACAAAAAAAATTATCGTAATTAAGAAAAAAAGCAATTATAAAATTTCTGTCAAAAATAAAATGAACCATTTATATTATTACAAGAATGTAATCAAGTAAAATGATAAATCAATTATTATAAAAGAAATTTCATAAAATACCTTCAAACGGTGGCTTTAATTTTATGATAATGCGCCATTCTTTTTTTGAATACCTCCATTCTAAGGTCCAATTCGTCAATGGTATTTCTCAAATCGCCCATAAGTTTCTCATGTTTCGCTTGGAACTCTCGAACGTATCCTCCTCCATTTTTGATACCAATAGCCTGAGATACGATGGCAACGTATGCCAAAAGCATGAAAATGGTGATTGCGAATTTCATGATGCTGTTTCTTAATATGATAATTTTGGGGAAGTTATTTCAAGAGAAGGATTCAAGTTGATTCTGATTTGATTTTTTAATGGTATGATGAAGTGGATAATGATAAAAATTTGACTGTATTTATAATATATTTTCCTATAATGATATTAAGTAACTGAATTAATCGTAAAAAGCCGAGCTTTTCTTTTTAATTTAAAACGTGAATATCTGAAATGAAGCATATCATCACGTACTGTACATATTTGGACAAGTGGCAGATGGACTAATTTCCATATTTAAATCAGAATGTTCATTACCAACTAAAGACCATAAATCTTAAAGTTTGAGAAATTATGTTTAGTTAACTTTTAAGTTATATTAAAAAGCATAAATAGATATAAAATAACTTGAAGAAAAATGAAAATAGAACGCTTTTATTGAAGTCACTTAAGAAAATTATTTTCCTATAGAAAAGTAGTTATAAAACTTACTTTACACTTGTCATGATTCTTTTTAAGAAAAATCAAATTATTTCATGAAAGAGACAATGAATGATTTAGAATGGTCTTGCAGATTCAGAATGAAAAATGCTGATAAGAATCCAAAGTTGTGAAAGTTTATTATATAAAACTAATTTTGATATAGATAATATGTTGATCGCGAAAATAATAAACGAATATTCATATGTTTGATTTAATTATTCGGTTTCCGAAATTAATTCGAAAATTATGTCATAATAGGTTTTTAATTCCGAGATCTACATCTACCCTACCTATTTAAAAAAGCTGATCAAAGTCCGATGTTGTACAGTTGCGTTGGAGAACGTCGTTCCTATTATTAAAAAGGCCGTAATTCCGATCCAATATGTTTAATATTCATCCGTATATTCGAAAAGTATATAAATTTAGCGATCACGTGATAATAGGCCTGCATTATGCATAACCCAAATCTGAAGCATGTGACATATATGATTTCACGCACCTGATCATTTGCCATTACTGGTCTATATTCACTTTAAAAAGAAGTTTTAAAAAGAATTTAAATAAATCAATAAATTATGAGTGTACATCCTTCTTTTTAAATTTATATCATTAATTTAGATTTATCGCGATTAATTTTAAAAAATTTTATTCGATGCGATTGAAACGAAAAGAAATTAAAAAATGAACTAAAAGTAAATAAACAAAAGTCTACTTATCATTTATTTTACGTAGCGGCGTAAAGCGACTTAATCCGGAAGAACCATAGTAGTACCAATTCAGAAATAGACACAGTCGGTCGTAAGATATTTTTCGGTCGCGATTATTGCAACGATTAATATCAAATAATCTTTGCTGATCGACATGGTTGACTATTTATCAACGCAAGCACAATAACGATATTATCATGTGATTTTATGTTATGATGTTGACTTAAACTTCTAATAATATTGAAGCATGTATGTTAATTTCATATAGTTTAGTATTTATTAAATTTTAAAGCATATTTCATTTAATTTAATATTTATTAAATTTTAAAGCATTAATTCAATTATATTAAATACCCTCAACAATTTCTTGGCCATTTTATTTTATCTAAATATTCTACAACATTGCTAGATTTAATTTATTAACGAATTACTAATTATATTTTCTTATTATATTTAGCATAATTATTTTTTTAAAAAAAATAGATAAAAGCACAATGATTGTTACTACAACAAGAAGTTCTAATGATATAAAGGTCCCCTATGAAAAAAGTTGTACATGTTTCGTACTGAATTCGTATAGGTGTATACTGAAATCATACAGTTTTTGTGTAGTTATTTCAATTTTCCAAACAAAAATAATTGTAAAGAAATTTCAACGTAGCGAAATCGTACAGAAAAAAAATTTGAAATTTGAAATATATAAAAAATTGTGCTGAAATTGTATAGTTTAGTATTTTATCGACGTATGGAAAGTTTAATAGTACTAAAAGTGGGTAAATTAAATTAATTAATTTTTTACAAAAATTGCAAATAGGGATCGGAATCGATTCTAAAAACCGATGTTGTGACTGAAATTGATTTTCGTCTGAAGTTGGTATTCAGATACTTTTTGGGCGTCTGAAATTGAGATCCGAAGATCAGTTAACTGAAATTGGAATTCCAATTTCAGACATAATCTTATTGGTCAACTACTGTGTAACATTTCAATTTCAGTTAACTTACAATTTCAGATACAAGGTTATTTGAAATTGGGATAACTGAAATTGAATTTCAGATGAATCTGAATTTCAGTCACGAGGCCGTCTGAAATTGAGACATCTGAAATTGAACTTCAGATAGAATCAAATTTCAGTCACGAGGCTGTCTGAAATTGAGACATCTGAAATTGAACTTCAGATAGAATCTGAATTTCAGTCACGAGACCGTCTGAAATTAAGACATCTGAAAGTGAACTTCAGATAGAATCGAATTTCAATGAAACACTCCCTGAATATGTTAAGAAAAATAAAACTATATGACTTAACTGTTATAATGCAATGCTAATTAATAAATCCT